CGCCAAGTTCTTCAGCATGACGCCCGGCACTGATCGTTCACCTGGCAAGATGTATCAACCATCTCACATGTTTGATGGTTGAGGGAGTTTTCATAGTTGACACAGTTGAAGATTGTAATTTGAATCATTTCCATGGACTCTTGGTGATATAATTGCATTTTTTTTTGATAGGTCAGCTGCCTATCAAGACATATCAAGACTCAACTAACGAAATGCCTGCCTTCCTTAGTGCCTTCCTTCTGACAGCAGCTCTTTTTTTGGTGTTGTTTGCTTTTGAAAGACATTGGACAGTCATGTTTGGTTCAACATCGTGTATTCTCTCAACAGCTGTGGTTCAACATCGTGATTGGTGTAACAAAAAGTAACATCGAGGCAGGACATTCGCTGACAATCAGCAAACACTATAGTCCAAAATCTGTAGCTCAGCGGAAAATCACCCACGATGTTTTTATGCACATCGTGTTCAAAGCTACCCCCCAATACTCATCCAGCTGCACATGTTCAGCAAGACACATTGGGCACCCAAAAGTGAACTCCACATGTTTGACTCATTCTGGAACATCCCAAGTGAATTTCCAAGCTCTGCTGTAGCAGCTCTCATGAGTATATGACCCCTAGTTGCTGTTACGGGATGCGCGCTTTGGCACTGCCTTTGGGGCAGCAGGAGCCTTTGCACTAGCAGCCTTCGCTTTGGCTTTCACAGCAGCCTTTGGCTTCGCTGCAGCCTTGCCCTTAGGCTTGGGGACCGGAATCGCTCGGGACCGCTGCTCCATTGCCAGAGATTCCTGGGACCTTAGTCACCGAAGACCGAAGAAGTCACAATGTTGGGATGGGTTCATGTAAAGTTAGAGTCACCAATCACTCTTCTAGGATATGTTGAGTTTGTATCAATTGTTTATTTCAAGTCTCGTTGGGTCTGACAGAAGAAGTATTTAGGGCCCCACGTTCTCATGGCATCCTTGTAGAGCTCAAGGAGTTTGGTTTCTTGCCTCGGCCCGCATCAAGAAATCTAATCCTCTCAAATCATGTGCCACTGATCCCTTTTTGGCAAGGTACTCTGAGGAGTACCCTTCGACCGCACCAGCCCCATAGATCTGATTGATCGCCTCGTGCCCCTTCTCCAAAGCCGTAACCAAACCTCCCAGCTTGGTCATGAACCTCAAACGAAGCTTCAAATGCAATGAAAAAAGCAAACCTTTACCATAGAATGCAATTTTCTACTGTTGCTTCTGCTAAGCAACGCCGTGTGGGTGTTGGTCCGATTCTCAGGTTCGATCGCTTCATACTTGTTCTTGAGCTCCTAGGCACGAAGAATGAATAGGTTTCTAATTGCTTGCAATCCACCGGTATACTGAAGATTCTTGTCAAATACTCCAATCAAGTCATGCGTCACTGATCTTGGAAACTCTCTTGGTGATACCATCAAGGTACTTGAGCACCACCAAAGAGGGCTTCTCATTCTTATGCACCTGCGGTAACACGGACGCCTGAGGAGGCGGTCCCCCTGCTGCAACTTCTCCAGAACCGCTTCCATGCATGCCTGTCAAAGCAGACATATCCCAGCTCCACCCTCTAGAAATCTGTTGTTCTTTGCAAATTGACATCCCACTACATTATCAGGTGACTGGCCAAAAGCTTCACCACGTGCGGCGCCCAAACAAATAGCCCGGGTGTTGTGAGGCCCCCACAAATGAATGATTTTGGGGCATTGATGCATTCACATTCTTCACCTCAAGGACTTTGTTTTCTATAGCCATCTTAGTTTATTCATGGACCAAAGCTTTTGATATTTGAACACAGTGGCATACATCAGGAAATACAGCTGGCCTCCCGAGCTGCGAAGTTCTGCCATGTCAAGCGTGACATCAGGGTTCTCCAATGCATCTTCAGCAGAAGTCTCCACAACAAACTGTGAAGATTCGGTGGTTACTCTGGATTTGCTGGATTCCCATTCAGCTTCCATTTCCTCTTCAAACCAGTAAAGGTTCTTGGATTCGTACTTGTCCCACCTAGGCCAGACCAGCCCACAAGTTTTTGAAGCACTATGTCAAAAAGAAACACAGATAAAGATACACACAGAGAGAGAAAGAAGAGAGAGAGAGAGAGAGATAAAGAGGTCGGTCCAAGCCACTTGATGTGGTTGGCGTTCTTCTCACAGAACTCTTTGATCGCTTTGATCCTGGGCCTTGGATAGTGAACACTTGGAATATATTCCAACAAAGCCATAGAGCCAACTCATTGGACACACTCATTGTGTTTTCATGGCTGGTCTTAATTGAAAGGAAAGGAACTCTTTCAACTTAAGGACATCCCTCATCTTGTCTTCACTAGCCCACTGCGCTTTGACTCTCATCTTGACAGACTGACGCTTTTCCACCTCCAAGGTCACGTGTTTCAAGAACTGCTCCTGGAAGGGCAAAGGGGCAAAGAATGGTCCACCAATCAAACATAAAGTGTTATAAACATAAAACATATTTTGACAATCAGGTGGCTTCCCTATAGTTGGATATGACTATAAGCTTTAGACACCCTGACCCGATTGCAGTTCATTGATGCAAATAGTTCTTGAAGTCGAGCGCGTGAAGCGCCACCCTTTCGCCATTCCTCATATATTTCCTGTGGCACACATAGACTCCTCAAGTGGGATGGAAGCAATTGCAAGAACAATGCTGCCAGGTTCGTTTTCAATACCTCGAGACACAGGTATGGGGCATTAGGAAATGTGGCGCCTTATATAATAGGAACTATTGATATGGTCTCATGACATATTGTTTGAACACTTTGTAAAAAAGACCTTGCTATTCGCTTTATTGGTATCATTGCAAGGGCCACGGTATTGAACCTTTGGGGGCACCAAGTGTGGATCGAGACATAAAGCCATACCAGATTGCTAGTCTAGACTCCCATCAGCCCTCGGTTTGCAAAGGCGAGCGAGCCTTTTGCGAGCAGCCTCATCATTGCACATGTCCTCATCCGCCTGGTTCCCCAGCAGACCAGGCAGGGTCTCAGCACTGTGAACCTGAAGCATTCTTTCCTCCAATTCCATCACCTTCGCTTCTAGCTCAGCCTTCTCCTGAATTAGCTTAGCATTTTCATCCCTCAGCCAAGACAATTCATCCGGGGTTTCACCTGTCATCCCACCACTAGCACCTGGTTGAGCAGAAGCTTCAGCAATTGGCGGAGTCTCGCAAGGAGACTCAATTGTGAAGTCCAATTTCTGAGGCCTTACCTCCGGATCCACACGCGTCCTCTTTTGAATCTTTCCGGGGGTAGTAGTCGAAGGGTGCACAATGGCACAGGGCACGCCCTCTGTCTTCTCATACATGGCACGTTGACGCTGTAACTCCTCCAGGGAGTTTACCTAGAATTAGAAAGAAACCATGGGTCCCATTCCCCGCTTTCAACACCCAATATTTACAGAAACATTGTTTGAGCCCTAACACCAAAAACACCATCCTCTAGTTCCATCTGCATTTCTTCCTCAGTCATCTCACACTTGACCTGTTGGCTGTTCAGTTGAGCGCTCCCACGACCCAGGCTGGCACTGCTGAACTGCTTCGAAGGCAGTTTGGTAGGCTCGGCCGACATGGGGGCAGTGGCAAAGCACACAAACAAAGATCAAACAAAGGCTAAACACACCTTCGTAATCAAAGAACAGGGTAACATGAAAAGCAGCTTGCTGGAAACTCTACAAACAGTTTCAAGTCAGCATTAGAGTTATTTAGAGTTGCTGTTTTTTTTTTTTCGCAGTGATCAGGTCAGAGTGTGTGGAATTCACACTTCTCAAAGTCCATAGGTTCTTGATTAAGGTTTTGCAAAAGACACCACACGGAATGGGGGCAGCAAAATCTTGTAGACAATGTACGTGAAATGAGGCCCCTCTACAGGTGATGCCGTTTCACCACCTGCGGCTGCATTTCGGCACCCCGGGGTGTTCACGAATTTGTGAATTAGGAAACTCTCCACCATAGCTGCAAGGGCTGATGTGTCGAACACAGCTATGACCTTCATGCCCAGCCAGTTTTCTCGCTTGTCCAGAGCATATCCATACTTGGAATGTGTCCATCTTTCAATGGGGTTGGAAGTAATGCCAATCTTGAACACAGCTGGGTGCTTCTTTGATAGATCCAGCACACTGTTCAGAGCATGTTGTAAAATTGCACTAGCTTTCGCTTTGGGATTCTTGAACAGGTGGAATAAGATACACCCTTTGCCGTTATTGGTCCCATGAAGCTGTGGCAATATCTCCTCCCGAAGGCGTGGCAAGCCAACCACACTGTCCCCCACAGCTTGGATCCAAGCTTGATCTGGCCAGGTTTGAAGAAGCTCCACCACTGATGGCTTCGCTCCAGGCACTAAGGGCGGAGTGGGCTTCGGCATCCTAAGGAGAGCATTCTCACGTTGCAGCTGGTACAACTGGGCCCTAAGGTTGGAATTCTCTGTCTCCAACATCCGTAGTCTCGCTGTAGTGCCATCATCAGGCTTTTGTGATGAACATCTATCAACACAATCCTCCACATCCGACTCCCACAGCAAAGACGCTAGCGTTCGTATTCGTTTGGCCATAGCAGTTTCAATGCTGGGACACTGCCTGCTGAGCTGAACCCAAAACTGCGATTTGTGACAGTCACCATGGATTAAACTGTTGATTTGACTTTTTTCCACAACATGGTCCAAGGGAGTACCCAGAGCCTCGAAGGAATCCAGTTGGGGTGAGTAATAGTAGAGTCCCACGTTGAACGGACGGTCAGGCAGCCGGACGGACGGGCGGACGGCTGGACGGCCATGCGGACGGACGACCGGACCCCCAAAAAAGTACACAACCTCCATAAAAAGTACAAACCCTTCGGACGGGTCCGGACCGGACGCCCTTTTCCGTCCTTTGGACGGCATTTTCCGTCCTTTCGGACGCCCATCCAAAGATGCAAAACAAAAAAAGTACAAAAGGATCTAAAAAAGTCCAGCGTACATATTATACATCTATTGGACTATCCTTTTCATTACAACTCTGCAGGCAGGCATTCCCTCCAATCCCTGGGAATTTCCAGGAGCTTGGATCCTCTCAAGTAGGCAACTACCTCTGGCATGCCGGCATCGCACCAGCGGTCACCCCAGTTCAAAGCCTTGTAGGTCTTTTTGAAGTCATGGGGGTCCACCTCATTTGGAGCATGCAGCTTCAAGCCCAAGACATGGCCCCACATGAGCATGTTATGGGGTTGAATGGAAGGAGCCTTCCAATACCATCCAGTCATGAGACGTGATTTCATTACAATGAACTCCATTTGACTTGCGCAAGCTATGGGTTAGGCACACCCATGCATCTGTTCGACTTCTACAAGCTAGGGCACATGTGGTACTGGGTTCCGCTTCTCATACCGTGCCAGGTCCTGGATCTGCAGCAAATATCGAGCGAACTTCCAAGTGTAAAGCCTGGGAGCTTGGCAGGGATGGACTTTGGACCCCCCCCCACACAGATTGTGGCAGACCAACTTTGGATAAACAAATACCCCTTCAGAAAGTCCACTACCCAGAATTGCAAGTGAGGGGAGCCATAGTCAGGGTGTCCATACTTGGGTCTTGGGTAGTAAATACAAAAACAAACACTTCATAATTAAGGCGAAGAGCTGTGTTCCCTTTAAGTTCTTGTTGCCTTTGAATCTCTTGACACCTGCTTTACTAGTGTATTTGTCAGTGGTTTTCAGCTCAGACTTCAACTTGGCCGCTCGCATCCTGGAAGCGAAGGATAGTTCTGAAATCCAAGTTGAGTTCGATAGCACAATCGATCTCTTTGGTGTAGGATGACCAAGAGCTCTCATCCAAAATGTCTGCCGGAACATCTGGGCGGGCAGTGGAAAGAACCCAACAATGTAAGGGCAGAAAAGGGAAGGCTGTTGACAAACAGTCAAAGAAGGACCCACTTGTCATGTTTCATTGAACCTTGGAGGACTCCAAGAAGTAAATTAAACATGCACTAGTCACAGGCAAGGGTCCTTCATGCCCAGCTCCTCCATCAAGTCTACAAACCAAACCATGCGCTCATGTAGTAGCAAGAGCGATGAAGAAGGTTGTTCAATTATGTAAACCCCTTCCATGGCCAAGACCACCAAGAGAAGAAGAACGCACCTCACGAAATTGGACCCAGGGATGGCACCAAAATTCCAATAAGGTGGTTTGAAGCTATAGACCGGTGCTTGACCAATACATCAAAACATGTGCCACAAATTGCGGTTGCCAAGCCAAGAGACCTACTCACCATTTTGTTTGCTTCAGCCACTGTTTTGTAGGTAGCGCATCCCATTGGTGTCAAAAAACTTCTCTTACTCGATCCTCTACTGGCAACCACCCATGAACTGCAACATACACCCATAGTCACGAGGAGCTCACCGTAATTTCCTTCGAGTATAGCCTTCAAAGCCAACCTTGGTGACCAAAATATGTGAGATAACAGAATACTACTGCAAATGAACAAAAACATGTCATTCCCCTATCGTTGAAGTGTCCAAGTGTTCAACAATGCTCCCAAACACCTTCACGCTTCAGAACCTCAATATAAACAAAATTCAGCTTTGGACCAGTGACACAAAACCACAGGAACTGTTGATGTCAAAACATTCACAGGGAGTGTAGCTTAGATCCATGGCCACTGCAGCTCGGCCATCTACCCGAGCCAACCGGGCCACTCGCCCCTCCCCCGCAAAAAGGTCCACAACGCTCCACTGCTCTCGCTGGCATCCCGGCTGCAGCCAAGACAGGAGGAGACAGCAGGTGATCAGAACCTGAGCAAAGAAACCCCATGTTGGATTATGTTGGGGCTTGGCGGGAATGAACCGTATGCATGTATTGCAAACACCTCGCAGCTAAAGTGTTTGCACCTTTCTCGATGCCTGATAGATTGTAAGAAAAAAACTAAATTGAGACCATGCATAGGGGCTTTGGGGCTTCGCAGGGCCATCAAATTCCATAGGATACGGTTCGACTCTGGACATGGGCGCACCATGGCTCTACACCCCTACGACTCTACCCTTCCAAAACTCCTGCACACAAAAGCATGCACAGGTTCAGTCAGCTAGTGCACAGAGACTTCAAACTCTCAGCAACAGTTTTCCAACTGACTCAACAAAACATGGCAGATAGTCTGCGGTCTTCCCTCAGGCCATACTTCACAAAGAAGCCAGCCTAAGACAGTTCAAGCAGGTGATCGAATTGGAGGATGGTGGACAGGCTTGGTCCAGGTTAGTTTATATGGACCAGGAAGCAGAGGCAACTTGCATAGTGTTCAATCCCTGGTGGTGCCACGCTACATTGCATACAGAAGCCTGTTGTTTTCCCCAGAGCAGATCCGAAAAGCACGCCATGAAAGGCATACGGCATAGCACACAAATTGCTAGATTGACCTAGCACTGACAAATGCTCACGAGCTAGTGATCAGCTTGGATCACTGCAAAAGCTTCACAATTCACTGCTGAAGCAAAGGTCAGCAACCCCCGAAGACATTATATAATATACTAACAAGAAACTATATCATAATACACCAAAAACACAAACCTGAAACTGCACAACACTTTCGATGGCTCACTTCTAAACGGCTCGCTTTCCAGAAAACACTTGTTGCTTTCAACAAATCTTCGACCTTTGTAGTCAAAAGTCTATCAATTCCCCATCAGCACTCGATGCTTGACCTCTCGCCAGCGCGCGGAGACCTGTGGCGACTTGAAGTCGCCCTTGGCACTCTCCACCAAGTCAGCCTCATGCCAATGTATGCAAAAGAGGGATGATGTGAATCAACAGTATATAATACAGGCTAGTAGCAATCTCATGGATTCCCTCCACAGCTGCCCAAAGGGAGGTGTAGGTGCACTTCAAGTAGAATGCCTGCCAAACAGTAAAGGGAGTCCATGCATGAATGTGGAAACTTTACAACCTACCTGGCCTGCGTCATACCAGGGCCATCCATCTTGCGGACTTTCAAGCCCACTGCCGGTCTGGTCCAATAGGGCACAACAGCAGAGCGAGGGAAGACCCGGATGTACTCCTTGATGGACTTCTTCAAGTTCTCTAAGTCTGACCCTGCACTTGGCTCCACAACTTTGGCACGCTTTGCGTCCTTTCCCTCCACCTTGGCATCATCACCCTCAG